AAAACAAGGGATTTCCATTCTCTCCTGATTCCTTTCATTCTTTGATCATTTTCCAGATGTCGCCCCCTGGTGGAGATCAAACTACTAAATGGATGAAACTGTTAAAATTCTCACTTTCTTTCTTTGTTTCATGAATTGTTTCTTCACTTTTTATGTAATTTATATTTTATTAAATCCTGAAAGTTGTGAGTTTTGTTTAAAATCTAAAGTTCTTTATTTTTCTCTCCCAGAACGTTAAACATCCATCTGACCAACATGAAGTTACTTTTCTTCTCATCTTTGCTTCTTGGGGCTGATTGGTCTGAAGCTCCATCAAATATTGTTTTAAAGTCTTTCTGCCATCAGTAGATCATCATGGAAATCTAACTGAACTTCTGTTATTAATTTAGTCAGAGTCCCTATTAAACTATTAAACCATCCCACTCTTTAATTTTCCTTGTGAGCCGTTCTTAGTCTGGAGAATATTCCAGAAAACTGGGTGATGATCTCTGCCTCCAGATGAGGCGTCTAAATATTTAATTATCAAATGAAACATTTAGCTTCAACCTAAATGTTTCCCAGCAGACTGACTAAAGACATTTCTCCCTCTTCCTCCTCTATCAGACCTTCTCTGCTCCTGCAGCAGGTTCCTCCATACCTGAGAGCTTCCAGTCTCCAGTCTGGATCCTTCAGTCCAGCCGACAGCAGCTTCACTCCTGAGTCTCCTGGATGATTGTAGCTCAGGTCCAACTCTTTCAGATGGGAGGGGTTGGAGGTCAGAGCTGAGGCCAGAGAAGCACAGCCTTCCTCTGAGACCAAACAGCCTGATAAGCTGCAGACACACAATTCATCACATGATGAGAAAATGAGAACATTGAGGTAAAAACCAAGATCTGAACTGATGGATGGATGGATGGATGGATGGATGGATGGATGATGGATGGATGGATGGATGGATGGATCTGTAATTATGCTTCTTTTTGCACCTAAGATGCATCAATTTGTCAAGAGCCCAGAGTTACCTGAGCATTTCCAGGTTGCAGTTTGGACTCTTCAGTCCAGCAGAGAGAAGCTTCACTCCTGAATCCTGCAGGTTGTTGTTACTCAGGTCCAGTTCTCTGAGACTGGAGGACTGGGAGCTGAGAACTGAGGACAGAGCTTCACAGCTTCTCTCTGAGAGGTTACAGTCACTCAGTCTGAGGAGACAGGGAGAAAAATCTGTTATTAAACAATTCATAAAAATTAAAATTTTTCAATGTTTCTCGTGGACAGAGAAGGATCTGTCTTATTTTACACATATTTATGATGTCTTTTGTTGTGAAATGGTTCATCCTATAGTTAATTTTCCAGACTTAAAGTTTAGAACTACAGGCAACAAGGAGACTGGAAAGACCATTTTAAAATTCCATAATTAACTAAACTAATACATTTTCAATTTTAACATAAAGAGGAGTTTTGCTGCTTTAATATGTTATAGTAAGTAAGTCTACATGTCCTTTACACATCCTCCCAAGTGAGACACTTTGAGGAGACAATGCACCGTTATATAAACTGGAGCATGAATATATATATTTACCTCATCATTTTTATATTTCTATCAAAAATAACTGCATTAACAGTCTATGTCCTTACAGAGTTTTGTTGGAGGCTTTAACCACTGGCAGCAGCCTCAGAAGAACCTCCTCTGAAGCAGAGTATTTCTTCAGGTCAAACACATCCAGATCTTTTCCTGATGACACTAAGATGAAACCCAGAGCTGACCACTGAGCAGGAGACAGTTTATCTGTGGAGAGACTTCCTGAACTCAGAGACTGTTGGATCTCCTCCACTAGAGAACGATCATTCAGTTCATTCAGACAGTGGAACAGATTGATGCTTTTCTCTGCAGACATTCTCATTGATCTTCTCCTTGATGTACTTAACTGTTTCCTGATTGGTCTGTGAGCCACTTCCTGTCTTAGTCAGCAGACCTTGTAGGAGTCTCTGATTGGTCTGCAGTGAAAGTCCCAGGAGGAACCGGAGGAACAAGTCCAGGTGTCCATTTGGACTCTGCAAGGCCTGGTCAACAGCTCTCTGATGGAGAGACTTTAAGTCAGATTTAAGTGATGAAGATTTCTCAGATCTTTGTGTTTCTTTCATTACGTCACAACCAGAGTTGATGAAGGTCAGATGAACATGAAGAGCAGCCAGAAACTCCTGAACACTCAGATGGACGAAGCAGAACACCTTGTCCTGGTACAGACCTCTCTCCTCTTTAAAGATCTGTGTGCACACTCCTGAGTACACTGAGGCTGCTCTGATGTCGATGCCACACTCTGTCAGGTGTGATGCATAGAAGATCAGGTTTCCTTTCTGCAGCTGATCAAAAGCCAGTTTTCCCAGAGACTCAATCATCTTCCTGCTCTCTGGACTCCAGTGTGGATCTGTTTCAGCTCCTCCATCATACTTGACCTTCTGCACTTTGGTCTGAACCACCAGGAAGTGGATGTACATCTCAGTCAGGGTTCTGGGCAGCTCTCCTCCCTCTATGGTCTCCAACACATCCTCCAGAACTGTAGCAGTGATCCAGCAGAAGACTGGGATGTGGCACATGATGTGGAGGCTTCGTGATGTCTTCATGTGGGAGATGATCCTGCTGGCCTGCTCCTCATCTCTGAATCTCTTCCTGAAGTACTCCTCCTTCTGAGGGTCATTGAACCCTCTGACCTCTGTCACCATGCCAACACACTGAGGAGGGATCTGATTGGCTGCTGCAGGTCGTGTGGTTATCCAGAGGAGAGCAGAGGGAAGCAGTTTCCCCCTGATGAGGTTTGTCAGCAGAACATCCACTGAGGTGGACTCTGTAGCATCAGTCAGGATCTCCTTGTTGTGGAAGTCCAGTGGAAGTCGACTCTCATCCAAGCCATCAAAGATGAACAGAACCTGGAAGTGTTCAAAGCTGCAGATTTCTTTGGTTTCACTAAAGAAATGATGAACAAGTTCCATCAAGCTGAACTTTTTCTCTTTCAGCACATTCAGCTCTCTGAAGGTGAATGGAAATATGAACTGGATGTTCTGGTGGGCTTTGTCTTCAGCCCAGTCCAGAGTGAACTTCTGTGTTAGGACTGTTTTCCCAATGCCAGCCACTCCCTTTGTCATCACTGTTCTGATTGGTTGATCTCTTCCAGGTGGAACTTTAAAGATGTCTTCTTGTCTGATTGTTGTTTCTGGTCTGTGTGGTTTCCTGGATGCTGTTTCAATCTGTCTGACCTCATGTTCATCATTGACCTCTCCAGTCCCTCCCTCTGTGATGTAGAGCTCTGTGTAGATCTGGTTCAGAAGGGTTGGACTTCCTGCTTTAGCAATTCCCTCAAACACAGACTGGAACTTCTTCTTCAGACCAGATTTAAGTTGATGTTGACAAACTGGAGCAAAAAGTCCTAAATTAACACAATAACAAAAATCAGATATGAAAGAAAATCTTTTTTTAAATTTGATTACATCACTTCAGCAAATGTGTGATTTATCTATCATTTCAAATCTCTTTAGAAATCCTCTTACTGATCTGCAGACGGTCAGCCAGCTTTTCCTGCTTCATCCTCCTCAGGAAGTTCAGTGTGATCTTCATCACTGCCTCTCTGCTGCTCCTCCTCTGCTCTTCATCATCACCTTCCAACACCTCATCATCTCTCTGACTCTCTGAATGTTCTGGGTAATCTGGACTCAGAACTTTCTGGATCTTCTTCAGTTCTTTCTTCACAAAAGTGACAATGTTGTCCTCCAGCAGCTGGAACAGAATAATAGATGAAGGAAACATCAGAGTGAAATCATGGAGCCAAACACCAGATGGATGTTGGACAGACTGACAGTCCTATGGTCTACAAAATGCAGCATGAAGGTGACTTTGAACAGAACCCATGGTAAAGTAGTTGTTGTTCATTTACAGACCATAAATATGGAGTCCAGCTCTGTTTGATTCTGCTGAGCAGATGGACCCCTGGGTACCTCTGAGCTCTGCTGGTCCACTCTGTGGAGGAACCAGGAACAATTAGGAAGTCAGGAAATATTCATCCTGCAGTTTTCACAGAGGAAATCACCAGGAGTTTCACATTAAAAGTCCTTGATATAGAAAAACAGAGCATCACATGAACACAATTCAAGGTTAGAAACTGATGAATATAGGTAACACCAGAATAATCCAGTGGACATTTTAAAAAGTTGATTTTGAACTTGGACTTCAAACAGTCCAAATTGTCAGCAGATCTGATGTTGGTGGAGACAGTTTCCCAAGTCTTGGGGACAGTGGAAGTGAAGGCTCTGTCCACACATGTCTTCAGGACAGTGTGTGACATCCATCAGGTTCTGATGACTAGATCTGAGGTGATGTGGACATGGAGGAGGTCTGAAATATGTGGGTGTGTCCCTGTGGGATCCTCTACTGGATGTTATAGAGAGGATTTCAAAATGGATCCTGTAGATCCCTGGAAGCCAGTGAGCTCATATTGTATCTGTCCACACAGAGACAATCAGAAGGTAAAGGTCCATGAAGTGATATCTGAATTTGAACAGTGAACCAGGTGATCTAAATAGTTGTAAAGATTTAATGTTCCTGCTGATCCCATTAAGAACCAGCAGAACCTCTGATGGTCCACATCAGCTCAGTTTGGTTGAGTTCCAGCAGATCTCACCAACCACATCATGAAGCTTTCCTTCCCTGCTGAACTGCTCTCACAATGCACACAGGAACCAAGTCCTGATGGACCAGAATGGCTTTACCAGGTATTTCCCAGTGGAAATGTGATCCACTGTTAGTCTGACATGGAGCCAGGAAGCAACAGAACATCATCATCAACATCCAGAGATAAAGATATGAAGGTGTTTTCATGAGAACAGAGCAGCTGATTTCTGTAGATAATGGATCAAACCTCTGGAAATATAACTGGAAACATCTGAGTTCTTACTGGTTCAGTTTCCAGAGTTACAGCAATTAGAAACAGCTCACCTCTCTGATGATGGAGATCCAGCAGATTTAAAGTCAATGAAACGATCCATTGACCTGTCACTCTTAAAGGACACACAGCTGGGTTCTGGTTCTGGTTCTGGTTTGCGTTTCTGATGGATCCTGACAGAAACATGATGATTAAAACTTAATCAGCAAAGAGGAGCAGCAGCAGCTTCATCACCACGTCTGTTCTGGCCTGAAATAGTGAAGGCTGTGTGAAAAGGGCTGTGGACAGTTAGAGATGGTGACCTCACCTCTGACCTTTGCTCTGGCTCTCATCTTCCCCACACAGAGTGGTTTTAGAGGGAGGGACTCCCTCCTCTCTGTCCTCACACTGATCCATGCTGCTGAATCCACATCAGCTCACACACACTTTCTAGCTTCACCTGCAGAGGAAACACACATCATTCATCTGCACATCAACTCTGATCATCCTTTACATCATTAGTGCTGGAAAAAGATCAGCTGCTCCTCCTCTGATTGGCTCTTCTTCTCTGCTTCATATCAGTGTCAGGTGAATGCAGTCAGACAGCAGAGAGGCAGAGGAAGCATCAGCTGCTGCACTTCTACTATCAGTCCACTAGATGGAGACATGGAGCAACATTTACATTCACTGATTCAACCTGAACAGGAAGGATTTTAGATAATAAATTATTAAAATCTAAAAGTGGATTATCTTCTCCATCAAAGTTCAACTATTTAATAATCTGACTGAATTAAACTCATATTAAGGAAAATATTTTCTTTAAACTTGTTTGTTTAACTTTAATGATGAAGACTAGAATTTGACTCCTGGATATAAAAACACAAAACAATTTGTTCAGAGAAGAACATTCAGCTCTTCATCAAGAGCTTTTGGATTCCAGTTTATCAGTAATCTAATAATCCCTTAGATTAACCTTCAAACAGCAGAGAGATTAAACTTTGAGTTCTAGTCACTAGTTTTCTGTTCTCTAAACATCAGAGAGAAAATAAGAAACAGTAAAATTCCTGAAGACAAAGTTCAAGTAAAAAACAAATGAAACTTACAGTTTGTTCAAATGATCCAAACAGCTGAATAAGAATTTATGTCAGAGACAACAACAGAGACCCAACAGAACAGCAGTAGAACCTGGTACCACATCTGAACAGGTGAGTTTAAACTGAAAGTCTTAAGAGGAGAAATGAAACCAAACTGGTTTAACTGGTCAGACTGGGAGTCAGAGGAAAGTTTACCTGCTGACTTGTGAAGACATGAATTCTTCTCATAACTCCCAGTTTGAACACAAAGACTTTGCTCCTCTTATTTTGCTGATCCAGGTTCTGTTCAGCTCTAATGGAACCAGAACCTGTTTAAACTTGGAACCAACTGGACTCTTCAATGGTGGGAAATTTATCTCCCCCTGGTGGTGAAACTACAACCTGCATGATGTCTGATTATTAAACCCAGAAGCAGCATTTTAAATGATCCAAACATGTCAGTGATGGTAAAAACAGATCAGAACCAGAACCAGTTCTAATGTTTCAATGATCAGGATGTGAATAAAAGATCATCTGTTCCTCTGCAGCTTTTGAAATGAGCTCAGTGCAACAGAAGTAAACATGATATTCAATCATAATTTATTGAAATGAATCAGAACCAAAGTTCTGAAGCACTGAGAGAAAAACTAAATCCATCCTTTCTGCTTCCACAGCAGGTCAAAGGTCATCAGCTTCAAGAAGCTGCTGGTCAGATGGAAGTCTAACTATTTTTATCCCTTTGACACTAAATAACTAAAAGTTTATGGTTTAATGCAATTATGGCATAAAAAAATAATCTAAACAAAAATAAGAAACAAGAATCTATTAAAAATGTAAACTAACAGAAAATAATCTGAAAACTGGAACAAAGGAACAAACTCAACTGTATCCTTAATATCACCACACGACTGCTGCTGGACCCACAGAAAAGAACCGTCGCCTAGCAACCGCTCAGCCAATAGGATCCAAGCCTTACATTAGATTCTATAACTCTTGGATTATAGACGTGTTATAGACGGGCTGAAAGAAAACCCATTGTTTCCTTCTAGTGAGTGTGTCTGTGTGGTGATGAATCTGTCTAGATAGAGAGATTCTGTCTATTCTAACAATACAGGAACAATCTAGATAGATAAATGTTAGAAAAGCTGATAAAAATCAACATCCATTCTTTTGATAGAATCCTGTGACTCTTTAAAGTTTAACTAACCTCTGAAATCTAAACCAACCCATTGAAAATATTCTGTTCCAAGATGGATCAGAAAATGATTCGCAGGAAGGCAGAGAGTTTTGCAAGGGGAGATTTGATCCAAGGAGAGAAAAGTTTTGAGTGTAAGAAAAAAGATTTGAGGAAAAAACAGTAAATATTTGAAAGAGAGCAGAAGTTTTGAGTTCAAGCTTTAAAAGCTTTAAGAGGAAAGACACGACTTCCTGCTTTCAAACTGAATATTCCCTCATAGACTGGAACAGAATGTCCCTGAGTCATAACCTGGACATTCAGACTGGATGAACCGGTCGCTGTTTTAGTTTTTATTTCCTTGTTTCTTCTTTTCTCCTCAGCTGTCATGTCTGGTGAACAGCCAGTAGGTGGCGCTAGAGTCAGGAGGAGCAGCCTGGAGAAAAGGCTGTTCCTCCCTGATCTGTTTCCAAGCAGTCAGAGTGTAGAAGTTGAGAGCTGGAGAAGTTTCCTCCTGTTGCTGCAGCAGCAGAGATGTTCTGCTTCATGGACTAAATCAGGTTGGAAAGAGGAGAGATCTTTACTGAGCTGCTGGATAAAAGCTTCTGAAACATTTCAACTCTTTCTGGAAACTAATGATACAGAAAAACAATGGATGTTTTTACCATCCAGACCTTTAGAACCAGTTCAGCTCAATAATTCAGTTGTATCTGTGGAAGATGAACAGATTTGATGTGAAATGATGAAATTCTTCATTTCTATCCGATGTTCCAGCAGATCTGTAGAAAATGGAGCTGCAGCTCTCAGATATTTCATGTTTTCTATCAATGAATCCACTGATTAAAGCAGGAATCTCATCTCCATGTTCTCCCCCAGAGGTTCCCAAGGTTTGTCTATCAAGTATCTGAGGAAACGCCTGTGAAAGAACATGAACAGGAATCATCTGTAGTTCATACTGACCATAATCTTTCTCCAACTGAACCAATTTCACCACAACAAAAGAAAAACCAATCTGCAGATGCAATAGAAATGGAAAAATGAAACATTTTGCAGGAGATGTCCTCGACTTTACAGGCAGGTAGAAGCAGACATGATGCAGATAGTGATGCTGCTTTGGAGATCAGGAAGCTGAGGAGCTGCAATCCTTTACAAACCATTTGGTAAAAACAAGACTTAAGAAGAAAATAATGAATGCCATATATGAAGCTCAGGAAAAGACAATTTATACATCTTAGCCGCTGCCAGCCACATTCCTGCACATATGCCAAAACATACACCCAGCCCCATTACACACATCTTCACAAGCTGCACCTCATCATGTTCCTGCACCTTTAGCAGAGACACAGATGCAACCAATTCATAGCATCTTCAAAATAACAGCCACAGATTCACCTGCAGCAGAATGTATGAAGAAAATAATAAAACATATTGATAAGGGCTGATCATCATCATCAGTCGTGTTCCTACAATGTCACTGCTAGTGCATGTTTTTGTGGTCAAATAAAGCTGAGGACAATAATATCTGTTTAGGTAAATACATTTAATATCTTACAGGATGCAGCATTTATTTTTGATCAATTATTCTCCAACAATCATTTTTACAAATACATGTAACCCATTTAGAAAGGAAAGAGAAGAAAAATGTTGATCTTGAAATGTTTCTATGCAGGTGATGGAGAGAGAGGAGCAGAGCTGCAGAGAGGGTTGAGACGAGGCTTTATTCACAAGATCCATCTAATGGCCTTTACCACAAAACGGGCCACATTTAGGCATCATGGCTGAAAATGGCCCACAGAAAGTTTCTGATGGCCCAAATCCAAGACCAGAGTAGAGTAACAGGTGTTTTCCCAAAGTTTACTGTTTTGGTTTACTGTCTAATGGAGAGAAAGTTGAAGGAGATTGGTTACTGTATTCCAGAAATACTAACAAAGTCTATTGTTTTGCATGAAAGCTCTTTGGAGAAGCTAAAGTTCCTGCCATGTGGCTTGTGGAGGGTATAATAACTGGCCATGTCTTTCAAAACACTGAAGCCCCATAAAACCAGTAGTTGTCACATAAACGCTTCTCTGATGTGGAAAGAAATGTGGCTTACGCCTCGATAAGACTATTGATAGTGAACTGCAGAGAACCAGCAGCTGGAAAAGCTCACTGGAGAAGTGTGTTGGCTCCAGTTATTGGCTGCATCCTCTTCCTTGCAGAGAGAAACTTGCCACTAAGGGGGAAATTGTCAGCTAGGAAATCCTAAAACTGGAGCTTTTCTGTGAATCCTGGAGCTCAGAGCACGATCTGATGTCACACTGGCAGAACATGTTAGAAAGGCTGCAAACTCCAAACAAACCCCTGGATATCTGACATGCTGCTCAGAATGAACTGCTGGATTCAATATCAAAGTGTTTGGGCTAAATATCTGCCCAGACCAAAGCCTCCAAGGACTTTGCAGTGGAACTGGAATATTTCAAAGCAAGAGCAGGCCTCAGTCATCATTCCATATATTGATACAGATGGGAAGAAAAAGTCTCTATTGCAGAGTCTTTAGTGGGTTTCACTGCTGTGAAGGACACAACTGGGAAAGGCCTCACACTAACAGGGGTACTGGAGAGTTTGGGCTTGGATTTGGCTGATTATAGAGGGCAAAGTTACCATAATGGCTCTAATATGAGGGCAATAAACAAGGGTGCTGAAGCTTTAATACAACAAAGATGTCCAGAGGCTCCATTCATCCCCTGCTGTAGCCACAGCCTGAACCTTTTGTTATGTGATGCAGCCTCATCTAGCAGAGAGAGTCTAACTGTCTTTGGCACTGTCCAAAGATTGGACACCATCTTTGGGTCTTCTGTGAAGAGGCGGGACGTTCTCACAGAGTTTGTCGCCGTCACACTGAAGCCTCTGAGTGACACCCGGTGGGAAGCAAAGCTAGACTCTGTCAAAGCTCCACGTTTCCAGATGGGGGAGTTTTAGATGCACTGCAAACACTTGGAGAAGTGGCAGGAGACAGCAAGACTGTCTCAGAGGCAAAGTCACTGTCTGATCACATTGTTAGGATGGAGCTCCTTGTGTGCCTCACAGTTTGCTATGACTTATTATGTGAGATCAAGTTTGCAACCAAGGCACTACAAGCAGCAGATGTGTGAATGGACACAGCCATTAGGCTGATGGAGTCTCTGAAAGAGGTTTTGCTCAAGTATAGAGAAGAGGGCTTTCAGAAGACACTTGGCATTGCAGGCAAGATGGCCGTGGAAATGGATGCTTCTCCTGAACTCAAAGAGAAACGAGTCAGGAAGCAAAACAAGTTCCCAGATGGCAATTCATGCACTGCTCATCATGAAAAGGAGCCACAAGCCACTTCAGGTTTTCAATGTTGTTGTTGACACACTCCTGCAAGAGCTGAGAGCTTTTCCAACTGGTGTCTGAGGAATTGAAATTCACCATTAAAATGGAGCAAAAGCTGCAGGAATCAGTGACCACATTTGCCCTGAGCAGCTGTGATGTGTCAGAGATATCATTCAAGAAATCCAGCCAGCAAGCCGTCTACTGACAGGTTCAAGGCTCTAGAAAAGGGACATTTCCTCATGACTCAGCAGAATCTGGATTTGGTATTTCCAAATGTGACAGTAGCCCTAAGAGTATTTTAACCAGGCCTCTGACAGCGGCATCTGCAGAGAGATCATTTAGCTGAAGCTCATCCAAACACACCTTGGTTCAAACATAAGCAACGACGGCCTGTCTCAGTTAGCAGGGACCTCTATTGGACCCAGTGTGGCCGCTCCATTTCATCTGATGCTGTATTGACAAATGGGCGAGTGCAAAGTCACGGGATGTAACGGTTCAAAGGTCATACATGTTAAAACTCTGACATGGAGTCCAGACAGTTAAGATTTCATATTTCCGCTGCAGGAA